ATCTGTTGAAGTTATCGTGTGAGTTTGTTTTAATTCTTTATTAACTATCTAATTAAAACAAGCTCACACGATAACTTCAAGCTTTATTAACTTGTATACATTTAGAAGTTTTCTGGGTAACCTGCTTCTTTACTATCATGTAACAAATACAAATTACATATTTTCAATGTTCAAGACATGGCATTTGTAACAATGGTAAATCTGCTTTAATTATAATCTCAAAATTCTTTCACTGATCTCACACATTCCCTATTACTTAATTATTCACACTATTAGTGAATTTCAAAGTTACTTGATCACGATCTTAAGAGCTTGAAAGTATTTCGTAAAACCTTATAACAAGCATTTTTGTAAAAACCTAATATTAATAGTGCACTTAATTAGTTGGTTTGTTTTTATTGTTATTTAAGTGCAAAGCTACACAATAAACCATCTGAGCTACATCCACTGCAGGGATCAAACCCCAAAGTTAAGCATTATAAGCCAAGATTAATGCTGGGCCACTGGGGCAGATACCTCATTAATACAAATTATAAATGTTGTTCAATAAATAGGCAAGGGTTACTCTGTAGTTCATAGAGTGCCCTCTATTGACAACTTTGAGATTATATATCCACAAGAAAAGTGCTAACTGTATGTTATCCTTGGTAAAAACATGAAGAATAAAATTGTGTCTAAGCGTATGTGATAACTTTCCTGATAAATGACTCAATTATAAGAAAAAACTAGAACATAAAATTACAGACCAGGCCAAAGACAGATTTCGGTGTCCGCAGTTTGAGTTTAAAAATATGTATTTAAAGAAGTACTGTTGCAATAAAGATAATTATTTGACCAAGTAGCACACGACAGTAAACAATAACAGGATGAAGAAAATATGGTTTCTACATTCTACTGTGGCTGAGGTTAAACGGTGTAAGTCCTTTCCGTATTTCATTACCAAGTTTTACATTTTAGCCCATTTTAATTGATATTAAATTCTTCTTAATTGTAGGTGTTTAAATTTTGCTAGACTTGTTTGTTACATTTCTAAACAGACGTACACACAAATACCTCTGCAGCTTTCCTGGGTAGAAAGTCACCTCCACAGTATATTAACCGTTCCCTAAGGATGGTTATGCTGGCTCCAAGTTTATCAGCCATCAGATACAAAGTCTTCATTGATGCATCCATCTCGCACTGACTAAGTCCGACCAACATCCCTCCATCTTCTACACCGATCTCGTAGATGGCTTCTCCTTGTCCTGAGATAACGAAAGTCCGTCAAGATGTATACAATGGCTAACTAGATAATTTACAAATAAAACTACATTTTAATACATTTACTGTCCATCTCCCTCACAGAGATTACAGCAGCCTGATGTATGGTAATTATTTATTGCAAGAAACACGGTTTCTCTACCAAGTCCTTAAGTAAATAAAACTATCTGTTGATTAAAACATGTCAATAAGGTAGTCTTCAAACAATCTTAATGCATTTTCAGAAACAACTAATAAATTTATACAACTAACTTTATATAAACAGTCGTCTATATACATAGCTTTCTTACCCCACAGTGCTTTAGAAGTTAACTACGTTTAACTGGGAAAACTGACATTCACTGTACCAGGAGAAAAAAAAAAAAATTCAAAATTTCGCAAGGCGACTCGTAACAACATTTATATAAATATTACTTGATCTACATACTATCAACATATGTAAGTGGGTTACTTATTCATCTACATTTCAGACAAGTATTACTTCTTACAGCGTAGAAACACACCTTATACAGTACCGTGATAAGAACAGGTGAGTTTACCTTCACGTAGCCTCCACTTCATCTGGGTAACTAAGTGTTCGAAACGGCTCTGAGAAGGGCTAATAAGCTTCAGTTTGTACTCCACATTTCCGTCTGCAGCTTCAGGAGGTAAATATTCGGGTAATGTGTCGATGGTGAAATGTGACCCTTCATCCTGACAACAAGGGTCAAAGAGACCCACAAAGGACTCCATTACAAAACCTAGAGGATGGTAATTAGCAAATAATTGATTTATCATAAAGATTTGTATATCCAATAAATATTTTAAAAAAAAACCGGAGAGTAACATATTATTACATGTACAAACGAAAAACATATAATAGGGTCAGAAGAAGGTACATTTAGGTATGTAACTAATTTATTATTTTCACTAAAACAACCTGATTGAGATTTTAACCCTTTCGCTGCTCAGGTGGGGTGGAAAATCAACCACCCCATGCACACAAAAAATTGTTTTACCCTATGAAATCACAGTATAGCATACAAAAATAAAGAATAAAATCCAGAAAGTTGTACGATAGGCCTGGTGGTGTGCCAAGTGAGAAGGGGGTCGGGTCTAGCTCAGGACAAGCAGGACTTGTTTTTTTCCAAATATGGTATCACACTTTTCCTATGCACTGACACAGCATTTGTCATGAACAACACGATTATATTGTCAAAATATTCCACTTAGCACTAATATAAATCATTAAAACTACTGTATAAATTTGTTTACACTATATACATTCTCATCTTATCATTTTATCTTTCACATCTTTAGCAAATCAACTACGATTTCATCATCTTTATTATCCTTTTTTCTTTAGGAACACACTTATCTTGAAATAAAATCAATTTATTTTTAAAACTTTCCCAAATCACCTTTTATCTCTGTCTTAATTCACTAAGGACAATTTTGTTTCGTACGTCTCAAATATTGGCTTTCCGAAAATCAGGAACTAATATTTTGTTGATTTTTTCTCTACACGTATCTTTCTCAAAGTTCCCCAATTCGACCGTATCCTCATTCAGTGTTTAACAACAAATACAAAATGGTCCCCCCCCCCCGAATTGCTTCAAGAAATCTCTCACTACTCGACTCCAATCAATGTGTCTAAAATTAAAACTTCTCAGAATTATTACATCATGCTTTTTAGTAACAACCCTAATCTTATTATACACCTATTTATTGATGTTCTCTGTATGATTAATTTGCCTATAATAATTACTAATTAAAAACTCATTTCAAATAGGCTACTGTCCATCCCTTGTACTAAGAATCAATCAACCCTGTTTTTTTAAAAGTATATCACTATTAAATAACCAGTTACCTGGGGTTTTAAATTCCCATCATCATTTTACTCAAGTTATATCCAATTTTCAGAAGTTTCCATTTCAAAAACAGCCCTGAAATCACCCGTTTTGTTCCCAATACTGATCTCAACCGACAGGTGAATAAAATAAACCCTTGAATTGATATTTGTAGCAAATATCAGATAAGTACTTCTGTAAGTTATATTACCAAGATTAATATTTCACAATGAAGTTGTTTTGACTTGCACGTTTCTGTCTAATAAAATCTGTTTTATATATCTAGTACAAGCAAATGTTTAAAATGTGAAAGTTAATTATTGTCTGAAGATCGGTTCCAACTGTTCCTTATGGTTCCAGTGACCCAGTTCTGCCTATAAGAACAATGGCCAACAGAGCCTACAGCCTGAAAAACAGGTTTGGGTTACAGAATCCCAACTTGGTTTCTGGAAAGGTTTTAGACTCAAAGCATGTACATAACAAATATCTTGTTCGTTAAATGTAACTGCCCAAAGATTCACTGTTACAACTTTGAGAAGACAGACATTTCATTCATACTTCTTTACAATAATTACAATTTTAAAAACAACTTCCCAACTATTTAATGGTAGTGAAACTAAAACGTTTAACAAATGAATAATGAAAGGAATATTGCCAATGATCCATAATCTAGTTTATAGTTTTTGCCACTATGTGTACCTGGAATTAAATTAGGCCTAATTTGGTTGAATTGTTCATACTTCTAGATTGATATCATTTCCAGAATTCATCATATTTAGTAAACACAAAGAAGTCTGTAAGTAAAAATACACACTTGAGGATTAATGTGGAACATTAATAAATGGTTCTACCTACAAGTTTCCCATTGGCATGTGCGCACGTGTCATCACATTTCATAAACAATCAGTCTTTTAATTCAAATCTAATCCACTGAAATAATGTTTGTCACTTATATGAAATGTCATAATTTTTGTCTTTAAAACAATACATATCCAACGTTCTCCTTAATCAATGTTAATGGCACTTGAACAGGCATTTTTTATATGTTATTTTCAGGAACCTTAACTAGTTCTATATATCTCAAAACATTGTCTTACCATTTAATATCTTAATGTACCATTTTGTGAAACTGCATTTTTATTTAAGTTCTATACAATTTATAGTTGCAACGACTTAATTTTATGACATAATTGGGTCATCAGGCTTAATCTTTGACTTTGAGAGTATTTTTATTCTCATTGTTTACTAGTTGTAGCAGTTATATTATCGAGTATTGTAAATATATATTTATGTGTAGGCCTAGGCCCTTATCAAAATACACAAAATAAAAGTTGATCATATCGGGTAAGTTTACCATAAATGATTAATAATATCGGTAATACTAGTATTAGTATTATAACTGTAAGTATTATTAATATTTAGTATATTAAACAAATAGCTGTAATCGTTTGGAAATAGTATAACAGTTTGGAAATTTAATTTTTAAAATAGTGAATATATCTAAATTACAGGTATCTTGAAATTAATAACACTGACAGTTGTGAGTGGTAAAAAATATTATATTGGAATTTTAAATTGAATGCAATAAATAGCAGTTAGTTACCGAGCCCAACTTTACAAGTTTTATGTATGATTACTATGAATGCTTTACGTTGTAACTTAGTTAAAACATTAACTTGTAAACTTTCGTTTTTATGACAAACTTATGTTGAAACAATAACACCTGACACGACTGGCATTATGAACCAACAGGCAATACTCCATTTGAAAGAAAATATTAATTATTAAATTAACCAAAATTGATATATAACGTAAGTTAAATTCAAACAAAGATTGTGAGTGTAGGTCTAGGCCTAACGTCGAACAACAACAATTTTTAAGCTGAAAACAGACGATACTGACTGTCAGTTAGACGCTTCAGTCTTACCAATGGCGAATTTTGACAACAAACCCGGTACAAGGAGTGGTGCAACTAAGCCAATCACAAACCATACTTTCAAGGTCGCCCAGAAATACTCAACGCTTTGCGTAAGCTCTACTGGTAACGCAAACACAAAATAATCTGTAAACAGTTGCAGTTTTTTATATTACGATAATACTATGGGAATTAATTTATACAATCTGCTGGTAATATTTCACGAATTATACTATATTTACGGTGAGCTGCACCCAAAGTACGATTCGCTTGGCAATACCCGACAGTTTTGTTTTTTTTATGTCAAGATGAGACTACAGTGTGACAATGAAAACACAGCTGACAAATCAAAATAAATTAAAATGGCAATTTATTGAAATGTTGTAATGAAAGACAACACAAACCAAAATAATATTTCACAATTAATAATAACAATAAATGCACTATCTGAAGCAATTCAAAAAAGTATCCTAAATTATTTTATAATCTCTGAGACAGTGTTTTCCAAACTTTGGGGCATTTTGGCGGGAGAGCCCAAAAATAATGACGGAAGAAACAGAAGAGTTGGAGACGACGATAATCTAGGAAAACTATCATTTTGCTCATCAAGCTTTTTTTTCCCCCATTTTAAAAAAGTATCATAGAAAAGAACCTGAATCAGTCGTCTGACTACATTCGCGTGCAAACATGTCTACTATTTTTTGAACACGATATCAAATTGTACTTTATACCTCAATAATAATACGAATATGAAAGGCACAAAGCTGCCAGAGAACCAACAGTGAATGAATATTTACTGAATTTTGACAGATTATATCCCGAACGAATGATCTGATTTTCTATCGCTGAAAGACCAAATCGAGATCAAAAAGACTAGTTTACTGGTTCGCCAGTTCTTCTGAATAATAAGATGGTTAATTAAGGAAAATAATTAATAATATGTGATTTTAAAATACATAAATAACATAATATTAAACAATCATTACCCTAATTCCGGTGTGTGTGTGTGTGTGTGTGTGACATAAATAAAGTTGATGAAAAATTAACACTTCAACAACTTAATCCAAATCACTGCATACAACAATTGGGGTCAAGCGATTTTCTAATATAAATAGTGTTTCAATTATTAATATGTTCACCGTATCCCAGCCGTTCAGAAGAGTATTGCTAATAGTCGAACAGCCTCATTAGCAATGGCTATTAGTATTACCAAATATAGTATGGTTAACATTATTATACATTCTACTTTAACTCAGTTGTTATTAATAATTATTGACTAGTTGTTATAATATAAATGTATTGGTAAATTAAGACACAAGTCACATTCACTCCTATATTATAATCTGGTTAGTAATATATCTAAGTTTATAAAACACTTACTTCTTAGATGTAAATAACACACCTTAATCTGTAAATTAATCAAGTTTCTTTTTCTAAAAAATAATATTATGGAAATTTTGTCATAAAATTAAAACCACATAATTCGTTAAAACCATTAAGCATCTTAATAAAAAAGTAACATTGAGTTAATGTACAATACATGTTTAAATTAGTTTGACAATTAAGTATGACGAGTTCTCACCAGCAGCAATATTTTCCACAGATATTAAAATATGGTGTTTACAAACTCGGTAGGCGAAGTTAAGGTCAGTCACGAGCTGACAGCACTAACTAAAATTAACAGATACAAAGCTTATTCTTCTACTAATAAACACAGTGTTCTTGTCCCACAGCACATAAGATGGCACAGTGAATATTTCAACCTGCACGTTCCTGAAATAATGCCTCTGGATTCCATCCAAGCGATGTTATTGTTGTTATCTCGCTTAGATTCTTCAGAGTCATCCAAGAACCAAAACTGTCTCATGACGTCAAACACCACGCATAAAACACGAGCGTAGCAAGTCAATAAATATAAATCGGACTGAATCAGATTCGAACTATCTATGTTTTCACTGTTTGTGGTAATCTTTCTAAATTACACTTTCACAGACTTTACCATATGGTTACATCTACATTAGTGTATTAGCACTAATGCATATGGATACGACCCTCCAAACTTAAGTGTGTCTCACAAGTTCCCTAGTTTTCCGTATGTGTATACCGAGGGGGAAAGGGAGCACTCTCATATCATATGACCATAAATCTCTTTCGTGATTGGTGGAAGAAAAAATCACGCACGGTTCGTTTGTTAACAAACAAATTCGTGAACTACAAATCTAGTAATATGGGTTAGACACGTTTTCCTTGACACAAGTAATGAGCAGGAGTCGTTGAACTACAAAAGATCTAATTCATGTACCAGTAATTAAATATATGGGAACGCTTCTAAGGAAGAGATAACACTTGCAATTTTAATCTTGTAAAATACATTTCCTATGCGACAAATGTGTTTTAAAGTCTCGTTACTTTAAAATCTTATATTAGTTTTAACACGTTTTAATTGGTTAAATTTTTCTCACCGATCCTACGATTTTTTATTTGTTGTTGTCGTTAAGCACAAAGCTACAGTGAGTTATTTGTACTCTGTCCATCACTGGCATCGAAACCCGACTTTTAGAGCGAATACTCTTCAGATTTATTGCTGAGTCACCATGGGGTTCTGTGAACGAAAGAAAACATAATGATGGCTGTTTTTTTACGCGTTTTAAGATAAATTGATTTTCTCATCAAAACGTGGTTACATCAAATCAAAGGCGTATTTAATTGTCTATCTGTGATTAATGGAAGCCAACTACAGATATTTATATTTTACGGCCAGATATGATACATACTTACATATTAAATGAGTACTTTTTCTGGTGAGAAACCAATTAGATTACAGAATTTAAACCTTACTTATTTATGACAAATTACTTTTCGACACTTTTTGATGAAACTATTAAAAAAATGGATTTTGTGGAACTTAATTTAATTTATATATTTTTTTAATAGTCAATGAAATTAATCTGTTAAGGCTTAACCATTTTTATAATTCTCAACAAATCGTACTTATAATCACATTAATTTTTTTAATTACACTAATTACGATCGAAAATAATTGAAGTTGATATTCCACGCTTTGTTTGTTATTAAGTACAAAGCAACAAGATGGGCTATCTGTGCCTTACGCATCATAAGTATCAAAACCCGGTTTTTAGCGCCCTTCAGACTATCCGCCGAGCCACCTGGGACATTTTATTTTTCTTGTAAATGAATAATTCCTGATGAAAACGTAAAGCTTTATACTTGGTTCTATATAAATACATAAAAATATTCTATATTATAATTCAAGTAAATTCAATTTTTCGTATTTCGAATCACGTCATACCACCATTTATAGTACCCTGAAACGAAAATATTTCGATGAAAGCCTTGTGCAAAGAAGTTACATTGGTCAATAAAAATATCTCCTAGTTACAAGGCCTTGAAAAAAAAAGAGTTCGTGCATATATAGTCAAATAGGTATATTGATTTAGAAATATATGGGCCTGATAAATTTAGCAAATCTTTAAATATGTTGCAGTACATGTGCCTGTTTTATCAGCTTTTCATACGCGATGAAACAGGAAGTTGAACTATTAGGGTCAATGAACGTTTGTTTATATGCTTACTTAAACTAGGAAATACGTAACGGTAAAAATAAATTACATTTTAATATACGAGTATCGTATAAAAGAAAATTGTTTGGTGGTTTGGCGTTTATTGGCGTAAAGCAACTACGCTATCTACGCCACCGACCGGTAAAAAAGAAAGTTAAAAACGAAACAATGCCCAAAAATTAGGTAAAAATCTAAACAGAAGGAAAAAAAGGTTCAATGGCTCGCAAAATGCTAAAAACATAATAAAAAAAATGATAAATGCATTGTATATTTCATAATTAACTATTATACACGAGTTACGTGTTTTGTTTATTTTATTTGTCGTTAAGAGCAGGTACACTATGAGCTATCTGTGCTTATCCACTGCGAGTATAGGAAACCCAAGTTTTACCGTCATTAGTCTTCAGGCTTACTACTGAGCCACCAGGAGGCGTTGTGTGATACATGTTAACCAAACCGCCGAGAATCCAGGTTTTCGTTTGCTTGTTTTTTTTACGTAAACAGATCTTCACAACAATATATATATTCGTGTTTCGAATCCGAAAATATTTTGTTTTCTAAAAAACATACGTTTAAATCATTTCCTATGGATACATGTTTAATAATCCGTGCACGACTCCACGAAAATCAAATAGGTGTAAATCAGAAACGAGGTGATAATTACTGATCATAAAACACCTGTACTCGTAGTGGATAAACTACCAAACTACGCCAGATTAAAAAACGTCATCAGAGTGATTTATGCTACAATCAAGTCACAGTGCTCCCGAACGGAGACGCGTATATGTGTCAGCATCATAGAAATCTGGTGTTTGCCCATGGCATAGCGGCTAATAGAATGGCTCAGTTTTTCTAGTACAAACTTTTAGCTCATGGCTCCGTCATCTCTTGACCGATTTGAGATCTAATTACAATTTTGGACTCAGGAGGTTAAACCCTTTCGATTGATGTATTTGACAATAACCAAGGTCTCACAGATTAATTTGCTCTAATCCTGCCGAAAAGAATTTCAAGTGTCGCGGCTATTGAGGATTCCCTCTTATTCAAGAAAGCAATACACGTACTATGTATTTTTTTTTATTTTATAAACAAGTCAATGGTTTTACTAATACGATGATTTAGTAAATTAATGACATAATACGCCACTTTGATAACAATTTGTATAAACTGATTAGTTTATTTCACATATATTTGCTTTTTTTTTAGTATTTGCATGATAACCCTAACCACCAGTTTTCACCTTTACATTTATCGATTGATAGTTTGGTTTAGTTTGTTTGGAATTTCGCGTAAAGCTACACGAGGACTATCTACTCTATACGTGATAAACTAGGGGGAAGGCAGCTAGTCAACACCATCCACCGCCAACTCTTGAATTTTTTTACCAGCAAATAATGGGAATGACCCTTACTATATAACGCCCCCACGACTGAAATGGCGAGCATGTTCGGTGGCAGGGATTCGAACCCGCGATCCTCAAGTTGCGAGTTAAGCACCCTCTAACCACCAGGTCACCGATCGATGGTGTTCGATATTTAAACGCCCATCGTATTCAAAGTGTTTGATTCGACTATCTGGATGTTTCGAAATGTGGTCGGATTATTGAAGTTTCACTGTACGACAGAAATGGATAAATAACTGGATTTGTTTTGGAGTAAAGCTGCCCAACAGGTTACATGCGCAGTGCCCAAATCTGTGTAATAGACCAGGAAATGTATCCATACTCCACTCAAGAAAAAAAAACCCAAAAGTTTCATACGCTTTCTTTAATTCATTAAATGTTTAATGAGTTTCTTTAACACAAATAGTTTCGTATCTGCTAACTCATGTTGATTTTTAAAAGAAACATTAAAAAAACAATATGAAAGGTACATTCTTTAAAAGCAAAAAAAAAAAAAAATCAGTTATTATCATTCTCTTTTACTTTAAGCCATACAGAGAAATAGTTAAAAACATGACGGCTGCGTATCGTGATGCGGCTGAATATGCCATGCATTATAAATAAGCCAACTAAGCCTATTATTTGGTTCAAAAAGACGGATAAGTCTTGGTGGTGGTGGGTCGTGCTGGCTGGTTGTCTTCCTTCTGGTCAGTAATTTAAAAAGTTGTGGCTTAGAACCTATAAATTGAATTTATCCATGCAGGCCTAATTATTTTTTTGATGAATGCTTCTGGTTTGTTATTAAGAGTTTATCTCCAAAAGTCTATTGAAGAAAATGTCTTTAAGTCTTAACACTTGTCCCTTAATATTTAAATGTAAATCAAAGAAACTAGGTAAGTATCTGTCACATGATACCTTGAGTTTGAAAGGTTTTGGTTTCTTTAGACCTGCATATCATACTTAGTCTGTAATTATATAATTCAATAAAAACGTATATATTTTAAAATGTGGTAACAAAATTTAAGTGTTGTACAAATAAAAATTGTTCATTACACATTTTGAAAAATGGATACATATTAACTGCTCTTTATACTTCGACTGACATGAGAAAAAAGATAATGCATGAACATATTAAATACCCAAATAGGCCTAGTTACTTGGGTGATTTGAAATTATTTTATTTCAAACAATTTTTCTGATGTTTATGATTAAGCATGTCAGCTTTCATACTCATGCCAGTAAAGAGAATTTTTTGTTAATGTGTTTCTATGTTATAAATAAATTTTATTGTTAAATAATCTATTCATTATCATTTACCCACTCAGTAAAAAGAATTTTCTGTTGATATTTTTCTGTTATTGTTTGAAAATCTATTGATTATTATTTATGGGTTAATAATATTCATGCTGTCTGCATTGTTACAGAAATTATATGTTTAAATGCTAAATTAATGGTATGTTCTTGCCTAGTAACTCAGCTAATATACGTGTTGTATCAGAATAAAATTCAAAATTGTGGTCTTAATGACTAATTAGATTTTCACAAGCTACAACCATCTTTACAGCGTACTTAAAGCAAATACAGAAGTCGTATAACGTTTAGAAGCTTATCTGCAGCTAAGACCATGTAGTGGATGTTGTTTAAAAAATGGAAGACATATTTTGAAGTTGATTAAAAAACAAAAATTGAAAACATTTTTCTAATAAAACAAGGTTTCTTCTGAATGATAATCATGCCAAGTTAACGGTTGAACTAAAATGTTTGTTGAAACAATTTCCTTCTTTTGGTCAACCATGTTTAAACATTACTGAATATGAAGAAAGAACTAAGAAACATGATTGTATTTGTATTAGGTATAAAAAAATAAAGATTGTATTATGAAATAAAACATATAATCAAAGTTTGACAAATCAGGCAACAGTAAATAAAGAGAACATTTTATTTTTAGCCCGGCTTCTAAAGCTGAAAATAATTTATGACACTTTCAAGTTTTTGGAGAAACAATAAAATAAAAGCTACTAAATTCGAGATATATTGAAATTAAAAACAAAGTTAGAGCTTGTATATATATACATATATATATTAATATATTTGGTTAATTAATACTATCAAATTGCATTAAGTTTTATTTTTAGTTATTCTTG